TTGTTGTCTTTTGGTTTTCGCGTGCAAGAGAGTGCTTGTGGTGGAGGGAGTGGTGAATGCAGGATACAGAGTGATTGAGCAGTGGGCATTGTTGTTGAGGAATGCGTGGCCTAAGGTTTCTATGGTTCTTAAGATTTTCAAAGAGCAAGTTGTGATTCTGATTGCACTTTTAGGTCTATCTGCATTCTTCTTAATGGCAGAGACTTCTATAACTACACTGTGGCCATGGAAGGTTTGCTTTCTTTGTTTGAAGATTGATGGTTCTTATAATTAGTGAATAGCAATTGAAATCTGAATTTTAGTATGGAAACATCAAAAAGGTTAAATATATGAAGTTGAAGAACATTCACAGTTGTTGATTGTTAATGTTTCAGTAACTTTTATGGTTTAGATAAATATATGAAGTTTGTGGTTGTTTTGCAATGGCATTTGCTGACTTAAATATTGGGTTTAGTGTCTGAAGATGGTGTATTTCAAACGCTTCACAGTGATGTAACCTGATTTTTGACCACCAATCTTATTGGCACTGCATACTAGTCGTTCCCATCATCACTTAACTGATCCAGTTCTGTGTCTCTATGTTCACTTTGGTGTGTGATTTATTTTTAGATTCTGTTTTTCTCACTAGGACAGTCAATATTGGAGCGACTGCTTTAGTTACAGATGCAGCAACAACAATATTTGGAGAAGCTGGTGTTAGGGCAGCAATTGGAGTAATGACTCTATGTATATAAAAATTCTATCCTCTCTAGGTGTCCCACATACCCAACCTCCTTGCCTAGTTCTATTTGTGCTTGTATGTAACACATTGTGAATTTGTAGTAAATTAGAGTAAAATGCTTAAATTGCTTTAGGATAATTCTCTTTTAAGTTAGCACCTGCGTTGTAGAGTTGACTGTTACAAAAACAATGAAAGAAGAACAAATAAGAAATCATGTTGGGTAACTCTAATAGACTGCAGAATAATCGAAAGGTGGGTGGGCTGGTTGTTTATCATGTGTTTTTTTTCCCCCTACCTCTATGATAATGGGAAGGTGGTAATTGTAAGTGAGCTGGATCTTTTGAGACCATAGGGCCTTTGAATCAAAGAATTGGCATTTTAGGTTTCAACACTAGGGCACTGGTCATTCTTTATTTTTCTTTTTTCAATATTATGGGTATCCAAACCTTTGGCCACTAGTAGTTCTTGATATGGTAGATTAATTTGCATATCTTTCGCTTTTTATATTGTTGATAAAGGAGTTGATATCTAACTAGAAAATCAAAGAAATGTCTTGTATAGGGTACATGACAGGCTTAGCTTATTTTCTTCAAAGGGTATTTTCCATTTTTACTACTTTTTTTTTTTTTCAACTCACTTATAAAATTATTAATCTAAAGCTATCCGACAGAGCAACAACAAACGATCTTTGATCTTTTTATACTTTTTGTTTCATTTTCTCCTAAATGAACTTGTTTCTGGTCTATACGTATCTGTGCACGCTGAAAGCTATAGCAGCTCTGTTAAATAAAGAAGAAAAATGAATTTTTTTACATTTTGCAGTTGTAATTTTGAGTGTCAGGTCATATGTTAAACCCAGGTATGCCTGAGTGTTTATTGTAGATATGTTGTTTTCATGTAATGGAAAAGCTTGCCTTTTTCCAAAAAATAAAAAATAAAAGAACATAAAAGATTGAAAGAAATGATAATCATTGAATTTTTCTTGGATGATTCCAGGTTGCTATTTTGCTTCTTACTGAGATCACTCCAAAAAGTATAGTTGTTCACAATCCCACAGAGGTGGCTAGATTTGGGGTAAGTTTTCCAATTTCCATTCAAGTTTCCATTTGCTTCTTGAACTGGAAACTAAAACTTTGCTGAAAAACTTTAACTTTCTCTTTCAAACTCCATGATCTATATTGCTATTTAACTCTTTTCTACTTAGCTGATGACTGCTAGCAAATTAAAATTATTTGGCTAATGCTGTTTGCTGTGTCACTAGGTCAGGCCAGTGGCATGGCTTTCCTTGATACTATATCCAGTGGGAAGAATTGTTACTTATTTATCAATGGGAATGCTTAAATTACTTGGTCTAAAAGGGAAAAGGTGAAGGAAATCATATCCTCCTTTTTGTCTGTTACATTTTTTGTTTCCAGAATCCAGTTGTTTGTTAGTGTAAGTTTGTATTGACTGCTTTATGAATGCTTTGCATATTTTCTCTTTAAATTAGTGAACCTTATGTTACTGAAGATGAATTAAAGCTGATGCTAGGTGGGGCAGAGTTGAGTGGAGCAATAGAGGAGGAAGAGCAGGTAGTGAAATAAGCTAATTTTTCTTTACTGTACTAGCCTGAGTGTCTCCTTTGTTTCAAATAAGAATTAGAAAGTTTCTTCAGTTTCTGAATTCTTTTACTGGGATCAAATTGATTAGTATCATCTATGCTTGACTCTGGTTGCACATTTACAGTAGAGCATATCTGTTCCTTGCCATATATTTCTCTAGCAATTTCTATTTTAAAATCACATTCTAGTGGAAACCCAATTTAATTTTTTTGCCAACAGGTGCCTTGCTGTTTGTTTACAGTTTAGATGCTCTAATTTTATGAATTCCTTGCAGGATATGATTGAAAATGTATTAGAGATAAAGGATACTCATGTTAGAGAGGTAAAGACACCCCTTGTTGATATGGTTGCAATTGATGCAAGTGCAACTCTCGTTGATTTCCAACATCTGTGGGTGACTCACAAGGTGGGGAATTGGTAATTCATCTCTTAAGGCTTTGTCTCCTTCAAGAAACTTGTTGAAAGATTTCTGTTTACAGGGTACCTGTTTTTGAGTAGCGTGTTGACAATATAGTTGGCATTGCGTATGCAATGGATCTACTTGATTTTGTTCAAAAGGTCAAGCAATTTCCCCCTTTGAGGCACCCTTTTTTCCATCATTAGAACTTTTCGTATCAATTATATGCAACAATGTCCATATCATAGCATGCAGATTTATAATCACTCCAATTTTTATTTCTTTTTTTGGGAACTGGTGAGGGTGAGCAACTTGAAAGTTCTACTGTGAGAGACATGGCTCACGAACCTGCCTACTTTGTGCCTGTTAACCCTTGATTTTTTTCTCTAGTTAATATTTAATGATGTTCTTTGGGTTGATATTAACACTTTCTAACTTTTTATGACACTACCACTGGTTGATTGAGGGAGTAGCATCGTTTTTTTTTTTTTTTAAATTTTTAATTGCAATTACTCCATTTTCATGCAATATTATCCACATTTTATGTGAAGACATCATTTCCTTTTTCATTTTTGTAATCAATTGAAGTGAAGAAAGATCCTGTTTCAGATTGATTTGTTGTTTTAGTAGTTGTTGTCTAGGGGAAATGAAAATTGAAAAAATAGAATCCTTCAATTATCTATACAATAAAATTTAGAAAATTGGTTTTGCAGATTCAATGTCAGTCTGGAATCTTCTTAGAGAGTTCCAGATCAGAAAGGTTCACATGGCTGTTGTTCTTAATGGATATGGCGGAACTGTTGGGGTATGTGCAAAACCTCATATTGAAACTCTACTTAAACAGAATCATCCATTGTGTTGAGGTTTTTTATTATGATAAAGTGCCAACTTCTGCCTTTTTGTTTATTTTTATTTTGTGAGGCATGTCAACTTATGCTAACTTGTAATATCTTGAAACAATACGAGACAACATTTGTGATATTTTGAACTTTATTCTAAAGTTAGATGCTGACAATGCTTCCCCTGCTAAGAGGCTGAAAAACTAAACAAAATTTTTTCAATTGTACCTAAAAGTCCTAAAGACAAAACCTTATTCTTTATTAGCTTGTTCTTTTTGCCCACTTAAAGTAGTATTTGTTCATTGCTTGTTGGCATCCAAATGCCATAACATAAACTCAATGAAATGAATGATGGTAAAAAGTCAAACAGGATAATATGCTGACCACTTAAAACCTAAATGGTTGGTATGACCCCTCAATACCTTAACTCATGAGCTTGCACCTAGCATTAGTATGTTATCCAAATCTTACAACTTCAAAAGGTTTGGCATGTGACATTAATATCAGGTTCAACATGGTAAAGGAGACAGGAGTTCCCTGCAGTTGAAACTCGAACGCTCTCTCATATGTTTTGAAATCATTTTTCTTCTAAAGTTCAGATGAGAGTGGAATATAGACCATGAGAACACAAATAGTCTAGAACTTATTATGCATGTGTTTTCTTCCCCTTTTGGATTGCTCATTTTACAGTATTTGCACTCATTTTATTGACAAATTGATTTTATGTATTTATGTATTTATTTTTTGATGGAGCAGATAGCAACCTTAGAACATGTGGTTGAGGAGATTGTTGGAGAAATCTTTGATGAAAATGATTCAGAGGTAAGCCTAATTACATCATTAATGACCTTAATGTTCTGTTACTGAATCTGTTATGGGGGGCAAGTCTTTTAACTATATAGATAACTTTAGATATTGGATTCTATTATTCCTCAGCAAGGGGATGCTAAGAAAACTTGTTGATGAAGTCCAAAACAAATTGGTGTTGTACATGTGCTGGCAATTTTCTACAGATCAATTGATCTAGATGCTGCTTTATTTCACCAGTTTCCAGTCTCATTTAGTTTGGCATGTACTTTTTTTGTATTTTCCATGTGACCAAGGAATTTCATGTCACTTCTCACGTCATGTAGATATTTCTTTACTCAATAGGTCTCATACCAATTAGTGTTACAAGGTTCAGCTCTACTTGATTCTTAAGTGATTCATTTATACATATGTATAATGATTCTCAAGTGATTCTTATTTTATGCATTTGCTGCTAATTGTATTAACAGGAGGAGATCTAGAAGAAAACTGGCTATATTGTAATGAGAGCAGAGGGAGTATATGATGTTCGTGCCCATACATCTATTTATTGCCTGAGGACTTGAATATCAAAATGCCAGAGGTATATTATTCTATACTATTATTGGTTTTCGTTGTTATGGTGTGGCTCATTAAAATTTCATTCTCTGCCATACAGTAGTTGATCCATAGGAATCTTAAAAATAGCCAGGCTTATAAACTTGATATTTCTGATCCCAGTTGCAAGTGAAATTCTGGTTATTGTGACTGTTGTGGGATTATTATGTTTTATGATTAAGTGACCACTGCTTCAAAAATAAAAAAACAAATGAAGAAGAAAAAGGGGAGAGGATAAACTAGATGGTTAAAATTGCAATGTGGTTTTCAATTCAATTTGAAGCAAAGGCACAGTTAATCTCACATTGTAAATAACTATCAAAATGTTCCTTTAACTTTTAAATTTCATATTTCTACTTCATTGTTCTTTGTTCACCACGGTGCTCTATAGGAACATCAGTATGAGACAGTATCTGGTTTTGTATGCGAAGTATTTGGATACATCCCTAGGGCTGGTGAGAGCATTAAAGTTGTCCTCAGAAGGGATAATCAAGATGATGATGATAAGCATGATGAAGATGGATCTGATCATCAAGATTTGAAGGAAAGGCATCAAATATATAGACTTGAGGTAGGGTAAAAGAACCAAATGGATTTCAGTAAAAAAACTAGGAAAATGAATGTAGCTAGCAATCATGCAGTCTCTTGACTCTCTTCCTCATATAACTTTCTGAAATCAATGCTATTATGGGGGCATGCATTTGTTCATGTAGGAATCTGCTTTTATATTGTTCATCCTATGAGATGCTTCATTTGGTGGCTCAGTTTGCTAAAAGAAACTTAGCAACTGATAATAATAATTCATATGCTTCATTCTTGTGTAACATTCAAGTTTAAACATAAATCTTGAGCACACAATTGAATTACTGATTAATGTGAGTGAAATGTTGGCCCTGGTACAGATATTAGCTGCAAATGCTTGAAAGGTTAGTGCTGTTCGTTCTGAGCAGATAAACAATGGGTAAGCAATGTCAGAGGCGAAAGATGTAACTCGATTGATTCCCAAAATCATGAAGAGGAAAGGGAATGGTGACAAATTGGATAACATTACCTATGATGAGAATGCATTTAAGAGATAAGAGAATTGCCTTTCTGATTACTATGTAGTTCTGAAGATACATAAGATAATGGTCATTAGCTACATTGCATATTCTGTTTTCTTTTTCTTTAGCTCCTTTTCCTTCTCGTATTCTTATTGCCCTGTGAAGAAGAAACGGAAGGAAACCACAGGATTACCAGGTAGACTAACATTGTAATACGTTTTCACAGATGAAGCGAAGTATCAACATCTGAAATATCATCATGGTAAGTTGTGCATATGACAGTGTCTCTGGACCATAAATGCTCCAATAGTGGAGTCTGAATGGCCAGAACCTGGGTATTCCTGCTCTGCATACTGGCTTCTCTTTCGAGTGTACACCAAAGAGGCAGCTGTGAAAGCATGAGCTTAGGGTGGAAAAGCGATCTAAAACTAATAAGCTGACCAAATTACACCAATTGAATCTAAATTGAATTAATTTCGTTATAATATAATAGTAAATTAAATTAGCTTATAACTTTCACTAAATAATTAAAAGAAAAATAGAAAAATAAGACAGTCGTAATATCTCAGGACATCTTGTTTTTCTGGAAATTCATAATTAAATTAATTTGGTTATAAAATGTCAAAATCCGATCCAATCCATGCTGCAAACACCCTAACAATAAGCATCCTTGTTCTTCTAGCATTCCCTAACTATTCTTAATTTTTTTTTCCTTTTTTTTTTTTTCCCCTTGGTGTCTTCGAAAAATTTCTCAAGTTTTTTAAAAAATTAATTGCTGAAAATTTGTGTACAAGTGTTGATCCTAGCTCTAATTTGAATTAATTACCTAGTCCATGTCGGGAAATTTGGCCCATCAGTGGCCTAATTTGTATGCTGCTAATTAAGAAATTAGCTTTAATTTGAATCCAGTTGCTATTGATTGGGAAGTTAAGCGACTCAAGCCAAACCCATTTACAACTAAGAAATTAAAAGGAAATTAAAGAAAATTTAAATGACTTGAGCTGAAGGCCTATACATCAAAGAAGATATGATATATTTGCTCCGCGTGGGAGAACTGGAGAAGACTTATTCATGGCCCAAGATGTACATTTTTTTAGCTTATCTTACTCTAAAGAGATAACATTTCACATATCAAAATCTTTATTAGTCACGGCTTAAGAATTTTAGTTAATATATCTCACACTTCTCTTTTTTTTTTCTTTTTTTTTTTTGTACATTTTATCGTGAAAAATGGTCCACTGATATATATATATATACCCCTTTTATATATATATCCTTTATATATATTTATATATATCATTTATATATATTTATCCCTTATGTACATAAACTATGATCCATTAGTACCTTATTCTCTGTACACTACCAAGAAATTAACTCTAATTTGAATCCCCTTGCTATTGACTAGCAAGTCAAACGATTCAATCCAAATTTATCTACATACTTCTCAAAAATCAGAAGGATAAAGAACATTTTTGGCCAATCTAGAAAATCAAAACAATATCTTGTATATTGTACATGACAGGCTTAGCTTATTTCCTTCAATGGGGGTTTTCTGCTTATACTGTTATTATTATTATTTTTTTCCTTTCTCTGTTTTTTCTTCAACTCACTTATGAAATTATTAATTTGAAGCTATCCCACAGAGCAACAACAAATGATCTTGGATCTTCTTATACTTTTTGTTTCCTTTTCTCCTAAATGAATTTGTTTCCTGTTTATATGTATCTGTGCACATTGAAAGGCATAGCACCTTTGTTAAATAAAGAAGAAAAAAAATGAATTTCTTACTTTTTGCCATTGCAATTTTGTGTTAGGTAATATGTTAAACCCAGGTATGCCTGGGTGATTATTGTAGATATTTTGTTTTCATGCAACAGAAAAGCTTGCCTTTTTTAAGAAAAAAAAGAAAAGAAAAGAAAAGTGAACATAAAAGATAGAAAGAAATCATAATCATTGAATTTTCTCTGAATGATTTCTTACTTTTTGCCATTGCAATTTTGAGTATTAGGTGATATGTTAAACCCAGGTATGCCTGGGTGATTATTGTAGATATTTTGTTTTCATGCAACGGAAAAGCTTGCCTTTTTCAGGGAAAAAAAAAAAAGAAAAGAAAAGTGAACATAAAAGATAGAAAGAAATCATAATCATTGAATTTTCTCTGAATGATCCTAGGTTGCTATTTTGCTTCTTACTGAGATCACTGCAAAATGTATAGCTCCTCACAATCCCACAGAGGTGGCTAGATTTGTTCTAAGTTTTTCATTTAAGTTTCCATTTTCTTCTTGAACTTGCAACTAAAACTTTGCTGAAAATCTTTAACTTTCTGTTTAAAACTCCATGGTCTATGTTGCTATTTAACTCTTTTCTACTTAGCTGATGACTGCTAGCAAACTAATATTATTTGGCTAATGCTGTTTGTTGTGTCATTAGGTCAGGCCAGTGGCATGGGTTTCTTTGATACTACATCTAGTGGGAAGAATTGTTACTTATTTATCAATGGGAATAAGGAAATCATATCCTCCATTTTGTCTGTTGCATTTCTTGTTTGCAATTGTTTGTTAGTGTCTGTTGCATTTCTTGTTTGCAATTGTTTGTTAGTGTAAGTTTGTATTGACTGCTTTATGAATGCTTTGGATGTTTTCTCTTTAAATTAGTGAACCTTATGTTATTGAAGATGAATTAAAGCTGATGCTACGTGGGGCAGAGTTGAGTGGAGCAATAGAGGAGGAAGAGCAGGTAGTGAAATAAGCTAATTTTTCTTTATTGTACCGCTTGAGTGTCTCTTTTGTTACAAATAAGAATTAGAAAGTTTCTTCAGTTTCTGAATTCTTTTACTGAGATGAAATTGATCGATATCATCTATGCTTGACTCTGGTTGTGCATTTACAATAGAGCATATCTTTTTCTTGCCATATATTTCTCTACCAATTTCTGTTTAAATAGTCAGATTCTAGAGGAAATCCAATTTAATTTCTTTGCCGACAGGTGCCTATCTGTTTGTTTACAGTTCAGATGCTCTAATTTTATGAATTCCTTGCAGAATATGATTGAAACCGTGTTAGAGATAAAGGATACTCATGTTAGAGAGGCCATGACACCCCTTGTTGATGTGGTTGCAATTGATGCAAGTGCAACTCTTGTTGATTTTCACCATCTCTGGGTGACTCACCAATATTCAAGGTAGGGAATTGGTAATTCATCTCTAAGGCTTTATCTCCTTCAAGAAACTTGTTAAAAGATTTTTGTTTACAGGGTACCTGTTTTTGAGCAGCGTGTTGACGATATAGTTGGCATTGCATATGCAATGGATCTACTTGATTTTGTTTGGAAGGTCAAGCAATTTCTTCCCATGACACACCCTTTTTTCCATCATTTAGAACTTTCTTATCAATTATATGCAACAATGTCAATATCATAGCGTGCAGATTTGTAATCACTTTAATTTTTATTTCTTTTTTTGGGAACTGGTGAAGGGTGAGCAACTTGAAAGTTCTACTATGGGAGAAATGGCTCACAAACTGGCCTACTTTGTGCCTGGTAACCCTTGACTTTTTTCTCTAGTTGATATTTTAATGATGTTCTTTGTGTTGATATTAACACTTTCTAGCTTTTCATGACACTATCCACTGCTTGATTGACGTAGTTGCATAGTTTATTTTTATTTTTTATTTTTTTTAATTGCTATTAGCCCGTATTCTCACTTTATCATCCACACTTCTTTTCATTAGACTTATTTGTTGTTTTAGTAGTTATTGTCTAGGGGAAAAGAAAATGGAAAAAATAGAATGCTTCAACTATCTATACAGTAAAATTTAGAAAGTTGGTTTTGCAGATTCAATGTCAGTCTGGAATCTTCTTAGAGAGTTCGGAATCAGGAAGGTTCACATGGCTGTTCTTAATGAATATGGTGGAACTGTTGGGATCTGTGCAAAGCCTCTTATTGAAACTTTACCTAAACAGAATCATCCATTGTGTTGAGGTTTTTTATTATGATAACGTGCCAACTTCTGCCATTTTGTTTATTTTTATTTTGTTTCCAGTTTCTGGTCTCTTTTAGTCTGGCATGTATTTTGTCTGCATTTTCCATGTGACCAAAGAATTTCCTGTCACTTTTCACGTCATGTAGATATTTCTTTACTCTATAGGTCTCATATCAATTAGCATTACAAGGTTGAGCTCTGCCTGATTCTGAAATGGTATGTTATATATATATATATATATAATGATTCTCAAGTGATACTTATTAGATGCATTTGCTGCTAATTGTATTAACAAGAGGAGATCCAGAAGAAAATTGGCTATATTGTAATGAGAGCGGAGGGAGTATATGATGTTGATGCGAATACATCTATTTATTTGCCATCTGAGGACTTGAATATCAAAATGCCGAGGTATATTATTCCACCCTATTATTGGTTTTCATTGTTATGGTATATAGAGCAGCGAATGGAGTGTTTGAACTTTAAAGCTAAAAACTCAGTTATTAGGATCATTTCTACCTTTGATTATTTCTGTATTGACACTTCTCCTGCCATTTCCACAGGCTCATTAAAATTTTATTTCTGCTACATAGTTGATCATAGGAATCTTAAAAATAGGCACGCTTATAAACTTGATATTTTTTATCTCAGTTGCAAGGGAAATTCTGTTTATTGTGACAATTGTGGGATTATTATGCCTTAAGATTAAGTGACCATAGCTTGAAAAAAAAAAAAAAAAAAAAACCTTGAAAAAAATCAAATGAAAAAGAAAAAGGGGAGGATAAAGTAAATAGTTAAAAGCGAAATGTGGTATTCAATTCATTTTGAAGTAAAGGCACAGTTAACCTCACATCGTCCTTAACTTATAAATTTCATATCTCTATTCATCATTTCTTTGTTCAGCATGCTGTTCTATAGGAACATCAGTATGAGATAGTATCTGGTTTTTTATGCGAAGGATTTGGATACATCCCTAAAGCTGGTGAAAGCATCAAAGTTGTCCTCGAAAGGGATAATCAAGATGATGATGATGATAAGCACGATGAAGATGGATCCAATCATCAAGATGTGAAGGCATCAAATATATAGACTTGAGGTAGGGTAAAAGCATTGAATGGATTTCAGTGAAAAAAATACTAGGAAAGAAAAAGCATGTAGCTAGCAATCATGCAGTCTCTTCCACGCGTAACTTTCTGAAATGAATGCTATTATGAGGGCATGCATTTGTTCATGGAGGAATCTGCTTTTATATTGCTCATCCTATGAGATGCTTCATTTGGTGGCTCAGTTTGCTAAATTAAACTTAGCAACTGATAATAATAACTCATGTGCTCCATTTTTGTGTAACATTCAAGTTTAAATATTTTTTTTGGAAAATAAATTATATATGTGATAACTATATAGGCCAATAAGATTTAATCTTGAGCATCCAATTGAATAACTGATTAATGTGAGTGAAATGTTGTTCCTGGTGCAGGTATTAGCTGCAAATGCTTGGTGCTGTTTGTTTTGAGCAGATAAACAATGGGGAAGCAATGTCAGAGACCAAAGAAATAACTCAATTGATTCCCAAAATCATGAGGAGGAAAGGGAACGGTGACAAATTGGATAACATTATCTATGTTGAGAATGCATTTCAAAATTAAAATCAGAACTTATTTTTAATTTAAAATTTTACATTTTTTAGTACAATTATTAAATAATAATTACTATTTATTCTATGCCCATAGGAAAATCTTTTATTTTATTCCTCGATTCCGTTCTGTGACATATAGCCATGATATGGCTGGATTTACTGTGTACCGCACTGTTACTTGTGGAACTTATTTATGATATTTCCGTTGGTACCCAAAAAACAATGTTTGGAAAGGAAATTAGTGAAAAAAAATGCAAGTGGGGCATTAAAGTTGGATAAAGAAATTTATGTTTTTCTTTTCTTCATTTTTTACTTCTGGGTCCCATTATCTGTTTCAGATGAGGACCACTCAAGCTTTCAGCATCTAACATCAAATGTGAAAGGTATATAATAAGCCAAATATATGTGTTTCTGCCTTCACTGAACAACACCTTACCCGCTTATTCCACGGATGCTAGGTAGAAAGAGTTGAACCCACCATGGCATTTTCTGTTGACTTGACTTGGAAAAAAAAAAAAACGAAGTTTTGCATAATTGCATCAATTAGGGTAGGTATTAGCCGTATGAGAAACGAAGAACATATATTATTTTTTGGGGACTGGGTTGTGTGATCTGGGGTGTGGGTAAAAGCTGAGCCCTTTTGGTCTATTTGTAAAGATTTTAAGGTGGGACTAAACACATATACATGCCTATCTTTGATCGGTCAAAGTCTTGATAATCATAAATAATTAATTTGAATTGCTTTCCAACTAATATTGATGCTGTTTGCCAACTAATATTGATGCGGTTGGAAAAGACGTGGCTTAAAAGCTCTTTTTTAATGTTAGTCAATGACAATTAGTCCCATTAGTTAATTGAGATGTTTCTTTGTAATTGCTTTTTTAGAATCAATTCCTAACTAAACAAAAGATTATGTTGTCACGTATATTTTATGGTTAATGATGATCTACTGATCTATTTTAATATTATATGAAGGTTACAATAAAAAAAAGTTTGCCCTGCCCTCACGCAACTACTCCCGTTGGTGCAAGTATTTGAAATTTTTTTCTTAAAATGCTCCTTTCAAATATACTAAAAGTGTTTAGTAAATGTTAAAAATTATTTGTTTGAAAGTACTATTCATGAGTTTAAAATTTTGTCAAAGAAAAATTTAAAAATTATTTTCTAAAGTGAACATCTAAAAAATGCAATTTTATCATCTCTAATCCCATGACCTTTCATCAATTTTTCAATCCTTTCTTTTTCTTTTTCTTTTTTTGACTAAAAAATCCTGTTGGATTCTAACAAATCGAAACATTCAAGAGTTTTTAATAAACTTTCTTC